GTGGTGGGGCCTGGTGGGAGGACAGGATGGCCTTAGCCTATCCCTTGGGGCTACAGAGGGTTGAAGGTTGAAGCTGCCAGCAAATCTTCAGTCATGGTAGGGAGTGTGAGGGTGAGAGCCATCCTGAGTTTGGTACCATGGTCACAGAGGATCAGGACAGCATTTGAGGTCTGGGAGATACCAGGCATGGCCTGGACCAGGCATGGAACCAGGAGGTCTGATCTGGGAAGCGTCCTGCCTGCCCGTACTTTAACGCACCCTGTACCCACAGCACCTGCTGAATTGCAGCTTCGATGTGGTGAAGCGCTGGGTGAATGAGGCCCAGGAGGCAGCATCCAGTGATAACATCATGGTGCAGGTGAGATGTGGCAGATGAGTGAGAGTTGAAATACTTGGGATTCTGACATAGCATTCCCCATTATAGAGATCCTAGAGGGCCTTGGCCCTTGCAGAGTTCCATCCTCAGTCATTGGATTGTGGGGAGGACTGGGAGGTACCCAGAATGAATCCAGCTAACCTCTTGAGAGGGATGCAGCGTTGTTTAAGAGACTCCCTATCATTTAGTGCCGAAAAATCCAAACATTTTGAAAGCCACCCAAGGACTGTGTTCTAGACCATGTGATACTGTGGCAACCTGGCTTAGACAGGATGTGTCTCTTAAAGTCAGGGCTTTGCCAAGCTGTGTTGGTGACGCCTGTCATGTATATCTAACTCTTCATCAGTGTACTAGACCAGTTATTGCCCATCTCTCTCTGACTCTTGGTCTCTTTGTCTGCAAAATGGGAATGAAAGTCCCTACCCCCAAAGCTGTGAGGATCGAATGAGGTAACATATAACACCTCGCTCATCCAGTGCATACCCATAGGCATTTCCTAAATGTGTCTCCCTCCCTGTCCTTCACTGCCTGTTTGCTGATTCTGTTTGGAAATAAGCTTGTCTAGGCAAGTGTGTTTATTTACCCTGGGACTTCTCAGGAAGGTAATCGTTTTGGTGGCTTCTTCGTAGGCCCGTGTATTTA